ATAATTTACACCTGATCTAGATCTAGATTTAAAGTGTTCACCCCAGAATTTATCTCGACTTGATAAAATCTATTTCTTATCTGGTATGCAATGTCCGTAGATAGATCTATAGTCTAGATCTAAATCACTCTAAGCCTAAGTGCCAACGTAGTAATTTTTTACCGGTTTCTTATTTAGATCTAGATCTAGATTCTAGATTTAAACTGAATTAAAATTAGGCTATAACATAATATCAAATCTAGATATAGGCATAGATCTAGATATCAAGATCTAGGTTAGAGATATATTATCTTGGCTATCTACAATCTAGAGATATAGATCTAGGGTCCTATAGATTTCGAATCTAGATCTTTGATCTAGATCTAGATCTAGATCTAGATCTAGAATCTAGATACACTCCCACATGTCAATAGCCGTTATGTAAACATTAACGAGACCGCAGTTGTACAGGTGCACCGAAAAAGATGCCATTGAAACAAGCACAGAAGCTTAAGAGGATGACGTACTGTTGATATGATAGTATGAATCAAGTTGCATGATGGTATTGATAGTGTGTCTCCGCTAATTCACAGGCAAGTAGCCTAGTCAAGAGTCACGCTTCGGTCATTCGCCAACCTCTAGATTCTACAGCTAGATCTTGATCTAGATTATCTAAATCTCTAGATCTAGTTCTACTTTCCGAACTGCACACTCTTTGCTGGGCGCACTACAAAATCTAGATTCTAGATCTAGATAAACGTTTATGCATTCTCTTTTTCTCTGGGCTAAAATAAATAAATTCTAGATTCTAGTAGGCCCAGGCTAGACATAGATCTATCACCCGAGAAGATCAGTACATGTAGTAGCCTTGCATTGTAACCAGTGTAAATTGTAAACTATCGTCAGTCCAGCGAGTTATATGCGCAGCTGCAAAAGTGGGAGGGGCCTGTATTTGGCACATGACGTAAAGAAGAGTTGTCCCGTCTTGGTATCGGCCAAGACGGGATAAGACAAGACGGGACGACTCTTCTTTACGTCATGTGGCAAGCGCAGGCCCCTCCCACTTTGCCAGCTGCGCGTATAACTCCTGGGACTGGCGATAGTTTACATTGGTTACAATGCAAGGCTACTGATCATCTCGGGCGGTATGTCTAGCCAAG